AAAAGTTGGATAATTAATTCCAGAAAGTTCTATACCTTTAATTAAGAAATTGAACTTAGCAAGCTAAAGGTTAATTGCAGTGATTTTTTTTTTTTTTCCCACATGGCAATCTTTCCATGACCTGGTTACATTACTGCAGTTCAGAATGAGCTCATATCGCACAGAATAATTACTTGTTCTAAGCTAAAATGCTGAAACTACCAAATCAGTGGATGAAAACCACTGAGATCTTTGCACATACTCAGTCATACAATCTTTTGAAAATATTTTTCAAATATGTGTTTAGACAATAAGATGAGCTAGAGTTTGACAAAACAACTTCCCTTTATTTAAAGTTTTTATAAATATTTTCTTTGATACTTTCAAATTATATTGTGTTCTTGATATATGCTGTATATCTGTCAGTGCATGTGTTTTTAATTTACATGAAAACATAGAGATGGAGAATTTACAAGTTGAATGTTAAAATACCTGTTACATGCTCTGAAGAAATGCTAATTTGAGATTGTGGGGGGAAAGTCTATATGATTTTGAGCTATATATATATAGTCTATGGACAGAGGCCCAGGCATCATCATATACAGCTGATCCAGATGGTGATAAAGCTAGCTGGCTGTGAATTAAACATTTACATTTCCTGTCCACCTAGTCCACCAATAATACAAGCAAATCTTTTATTTCCAGAACAAAATCAAGGGTCTCTTAATTTCTTGCTTATATACAATGAACCAGAAGTTTGATAGCATAGTTTTAAACCGGGGAGGAGAGTCGTAGATGTGTGTTTCAATGTGTAACTCTAATAATTTTGCCTCTAGTCAAATTCTGTGTTTGCAGAAGTCATCTGTTGGGTTTTATTATCTTTTATCCTTTGTTGACTGTATCTGGGTAATTTTGTGTTAACAAAAATATATGTATTATATATAAATATTGTAAAAGGAAGTGTAATAGGCACACAAGAAAATCAGATCAGTGTGACCTTATATACAGTTTCAAAGGTCAGTGTGTGTGTGTGTGTGTGTGTGTGTGTGTGTGTGTGTGTGTGGAGTCTGACTATGTCACCCAGGCTGGAGTGCAGTGGCACAATCATGGCCTCTGTAGCCTCTGACCTGCTGGGCTCAGGCAATCATTCTGCCTCAGCGTTGTGAGCAACTGGGACTACAGACACACACCACCATGCCTGGGTAATTTTTTTGATTTATTGTAGACAGGATCTTACCAAGTTGCCCAGGCTGGTCTCAAACCCCTGGGCTCAGACAGTCCTCTTGCCTCTGCCTCCACTTCCCAAAGTGCTGGGATTACAAGCTTGACTCAAAGGTCATTTTTTTCTTTACCTTAAAAAACAGTATGCTACATATCATTGCCATTTTCATACTTTGGGTTTTGCTACTGCTATAAAATGAAATCCAGTGAAAATGTCTATCCAGCCACTGAATTGCCTTATACCTAAAAAGTTTCTAAGATGACAATTGTCATTATTTCCTGTTTTATCTCTGTGCTGACCCTTGAGTGAGAGGTATCAGAATTCCTATAGACAGGTTACTGAGCTTTTAACTGGTAATCAAACTGCAATTGTGATAAAGGAAGGAAAGCCAAGACCTAAATGAGAATCACAGTTGCTTGCATGTATGGTAACTGTAGGATGCATTTGCCTTCTCAGTGACAAGGATAAGTGATTTTTTTTGTTATTTATTTTATTTTTTTGAGTTGGAATCTTACTCTGTCGCCCAGGCTGGAGTGCAGTGACACACTCACGGCCACCACATCCTCGACCTGCTAAGGTGATCCTTCCACCTCAGCCTTCCAAGTAGCTGAAACTACAGTCACGTACCACCATGCCTGGCTAATTTTTTGATTTATTGTAGAGATAAGGTCTCACCATGTTGCCCAGGCTGGTCTCGAACCCCTGGACTCAGACAGTCCTCTCATCTCGGCCTCCCAAAGTGCTGGGATTACAGGCTTGAGCCACCATGCCTGGCCCAAGAGAAATGATTTGACTGACACTTTTCTATGACTGAATTAAGAGACGCCTTCCTTTTGCCTTTAGGTTTAGAAGATACTAAGATAGTGAAAGTTGTCCCTATCTTAGTTTGACTTGGAGTAATAAGAGAGAGGAGAAGGGGATGAACTTTGGCTTTTTCAGTGGTTTTTTTCCCCCTAAAGGGTCATAGTGCTGATGTTTCTATCAATTTTACACATAATATGTGGCTATAAAACCATATATCTCAAGTAACTATAAATTGTTGTCTATTATTTAAAGCCAACAAAACAGTATAACAGTTTTAAATTCAATAATGTTAAGTATTGTATAGAAATATATTGGAGGCAAAGTTCAGTTGATGACAATTGTGTATATGTTACCAATGCTGTAAATTATTTTTAATAAAGAAAATTGTATTATCACACTCGGTTCTTATTATATTTTATAGTAACTGAAAATAAAACACCATGACTTAAAAAGAAACGGGATGCCTTCCAGAAATTTCTCCTCAAACCTGTTACCTAAATGTAGACATTAGTTATTCTAATAGACCTGCCAAAATGTGGATCATGGTCATTCTCATCCTTTCTACTCTGGGTTAGTGAGAATGAAAACCAAGATGAAAAAGGGATCACCTCAAGAAACAAGAAAGTTGAACTCTATTCAAGTGTTGCCCCATCGGGTACTTAGATTCATGGAATTGCATTCAGAATTGAAAAGACTAATCTCTCACCCAAAGCAGGATAGCTTGTCGCCCAGGCTGGAGAGCAGCGGCACAATCACGGCTACCGCAGCCTCCACCTTCTGGGCTCAGGCAGTCCTTCCACCTCAGCCTTCCAAGTAGCTTGAATTACAGGTGCACACAACCAAACCTGGCTAATTTTTAAAATTCATTTAGACATGAGGTCCTGCCAAGTTGCCCAGGCTGGTCTCAAATTCCTGGGCTTAGGCAGGCTTCTCTCCTTCCAAAGTGCTGGGATTACAGGTGTGAGCCACTATGCCCGGCTAAGAGATTTCTTTAGCACTCTACTGTTAACTAACATCCTATTAACTAAAGTATTGTTGGTTGAAGTCTTTATTAAATAGGGCACTTTATGGTGTGGCTGGTAGTGCCATCTAGTCAAGAGGCTGAAGAGAGGGTTTCACTTGAGCCCAAGAGTTCCAGCTATAGTGTGCAGTGATCATGCCTGTGAATAGCCACTGCATTCCGGCCTGGGCAACATAGCAAGACTCTGTCTCTACAAAAAAAAAAAAAAGGCATTTTGAGCTTAAGTCTGCCGCCTTATCGTCACTTATATCTGCTGATTTTGATTCTCCCTTATCTTTTAAAGCATTTTTGTACAACTAAACATTAAATACCTATTTAAGGAATAAATTGTGCTTTCCACAAATTGTACTACACATAACCTCCATACTATAGGTCTTTATTATGGAGGTAGTTTGTGTTCAAGTGAACATTTAGGATGGAATTGGAGACCTCCTGCTATGAATCGTGTATTACAGAAGAATATGGCCTTGATGATGCAGGATGGGGCTGCCAAGTGTTCTTGGACCTCTATGCTGTGGGCCCCACTGATGGTGCCCTGTGCTCATGGAGGAAATCATCTGGAGCTGGGAGCCAGGACCACGGTCTCTACCCTAAAGGAATGTTTGTAAATATGGTCAGCTCCCCGCTAATCTGAAAAGTTATGTCCTTTCTCCCACTCCTCATAGCAACCTGCATGAGTAAGGTTTATTTAGTAAAATTCAGCTGGGTGTGGTTGCTCACGCCTGTAATCCCAGCATTTTGTGAGGCTGAGGCAGGAAGATGCTTGAGGCCAGGAGTCCTGGGCAATAAAGTGAGCCCTCGTCTCTACAAAAAAAGAAAAAATTAGCCGGGACTGAGGGGGAGAGAGAGAAAATAGAAACCAAGCTGCAGGCATGAGTGAACTGGTAATCTAGCTGTTAGCCCATGAATCCTGTGCCGCCTTCTGAAAATCATGTGGTTTCTGCAGACTTTCCTGCAGGGAGAGAATCCACTGATTGCACCACCATATGAGGATTCTGACCCAGTTACTAGTTTATTTCTCAGTGCAATTGAAGCATTCGTCACATGAGACCTGAGCTGTGGTTACCCACTGGGAAACCTGTTGGGGTGTCTTTCACCCTCCCTCTACATCCATTATATTGAATTAAGTGACTTGGGAAGAGAGTACGAAACTCTGGTGCTGTGACAAGAGTCTGAGCTGGGAGATGGGGGACCAGGGTCTGATTGAGGTTCTGTGCCCCACTAGGCTTCGGTTTTCCTGTTAGTATGAGGGGACTACGTATTCGATAAACAAGACCATCTCGTGTTCTAATATAACAGTATTCAGGGAGTGCTAAGTGCCCAAGCGAAAGCGAGCCAGGGCTGACTCATGACCTCTATTCAGGACCTGGGACTAGGATCAGCTCGAATCTCCCTGGAGGACGCATTTTCCGAAGGTGGCCTCCAGGATATGTACTTCCAGCAGAAGAGGGAGAGAGGAGTTTGAGACCAGCTTGAAACTCCATCTCTAAAAAAAAGAAAAGAAAATTAGCCGGGTGTAGTGGTGTGCGCCTGTAGTCCCAGCTATTCGGATGGCTGAGACGGGAGAATCACTGGAGTTCAGGAATTGGAGGCTGCAGAGGGAGTCATGTCCCAAGCTACTTACACGACTCCGTGAATTGGGCGCAACTGCAAACTGCCACTCCAAGGAGCCAGACGCCTGCTAAATGGCTACGCTTGTGGGGCGGGGCGAAACAAGAGCCAATCAAAAACAGGAAGTTCAGTTAGTGACAAGGTAGTCGGGTTCTGATTGGGGAGCCTGCCGTCAATAGGCGGGGACAGCGTTACAGAAAGCCAATCAGAAGCTCGATCTCTCAGCCTCCTAGGCGGAGCCGGGAAAAGGCCTTGTCTGCTTGGCCACACCTCTCATTCCAATAGTCTGCAGTGAATGGGCGGCGAGGGGTCTGTAGGAGCCAATCAGAAGTCAGGGATCGCGGAGGGGCGGACCCAGGCGTTGCGGCTACGACCCGACCTCCTAGCGCGGGTGCGGGGCCGTAGCCCGAGTACCCGGCTGCTGGAGAGCGGGATCTGCCCAGGACGTCGGGTCTTTGCGGGTGAGCCGAGAAAATAGGGGAAAGCAGAGGCCAACCCCAGGTCCGCTGGTGTGGGGGGACGTCCCGAGAGCAGGGAGGCTTGCTGCAAGTGTGGAGCCGGCATCCTGTGTCCCCTGTGCACTACAGACTCGCTGAGTGCGTGATGGGCAGGCCACCTCCTCTCTGGAGCTCACCTGTAACCCAGAAGGACTGGGCTGAGATCCCAACGGGAAAGCGTGGCATCCAAGAAGCTCTTGGGTCCAGCCCTCCCGAGATCTGGCAGAGGGGCGGTGCTGCGCCTGGCGCTAGGGCCAGGTGTGCGGTGTCTAAGGCTTCACTCATAGCGCTGTGAACCTGACCCGTGTGCCCTCCTCCTCCCTGATTTTCCTGCCTTTTGGGTCAGCAACCCCCTACTCTCTCCTGCACCTCGTAGGGCATTGCTGTCCTTGAAAAACTACAGATTATAGAGTCCCCGTCTGTTTCGTGATTCCCTTAAGGGAAAACAGCCCCATGAAGGCAGCCCTTGGTTCCTGATTTAATATTAAGTAAGGGAGCAGGCCGGGTGCTGGGAATACAGGTTTACTGGGTACAGTCCCTTAGAAGTACACAGCAAAAGGGAATGCAGGAAAAGAAAGGCAGATTTGGAAGACAGGCTGAGGCTTGTAACACTTTGGGGTTAGACTCAGGTAAGGACAAGATTGATTCATGTTTCTTATCTGGTATACCTTGCACAAAGTGTAGAGTTGAAGGTCCAGCCCCCCTGGCTAAAGGACAAAGGTTGTGAGATTCTGGCACAAACCTTGGGCTTGGGAAACTTTTGCTCCCTGGGGACTTTTTGAGGCGCTAAGTAAAATACTGCCGGCAGGATTTGTAGACCAACCACCTGCAGGATTTGAATTCCCTCCACCCCCTCTCCACACACAAGAGACTTTTGGTTAAGACAGATGTCTCTGATAAACACATTTCTTTGTATTGATTTGCTTTCTGGAGCTGCCATTTTTTCCCTATGACTTGGAGTCCTTATACAGAGAAAAAAAGGCAAATTTAAGCTCAAAAAGAACTTTAGAAGCATAAACTATTCAAACTAGAAGGGACTGCTAGGGATATTCTAATGCAGTTCTCTTTTAGAGGAGACATGACTAGTCCATAGTTCCAGAGGTTAGGGAGCAGAGCTGAAACTAAAATATGTCTTATTTCTCCCAGCACAGCAACTTTTTATAATATCAGACTTTCTTTTTTTCTTTTTCTTTTTTTTTTTTTTTTTTTGTAGAGACGCAGTCTCACAATGTTGCCCAGCTGGTCTCAAATTTCTGGGCTCAAGCAATCCTCCTGCCTCTGCCTCCCAAAGTGCTGGGATTACAGGCATGAACCATCGCTCCTGGCTTTCAGTCTGTTTTTTGATTGCCAGGGCTGCCAACATTGCTGTCCATTGCTATGGAAAACAGGGCTCTGCATACAGAGGCTTTACACAAGCCCCAGTCAAGGATTTTATAAGAACATCTGATCTGAAGGGAGATTGGCCTTCACCGGTACCTCTAAGCTTCCTTCCAACGTTAGCAACTTACAATTCCTATCAAATTCAGAATTACTGTGACATCCTCAACGCTTTGAGAGCTGAAAAATTACTCCAGGATTTCATCTTGGATTTGATGCTTCGATTCATATTACATTCTGAATACTGGTCTTACAACATTTTACCATTCCATCTCCAGAAGGAATGTTAAAATTCCATGTGAAGTCATAAGCCCCAATACAGTGTAATAGGATATATTGGTTCCCAGAAGGTTCAGGTGCAAAGAATGTTTTGAAGCTCAGGCTTTGTCACAATAGCTTTAGTGATCAAAATCTGAATGACTTAATTAGCTTCTGAAAGCAAATGCTTGGGTTAGAAAGTAAACGTGAGACGAGATAGTGAAGAATACCATAATTAAGACAGGTGGTGAAGACAGGCCAGTAGCACAAGCTCCGCAGGTTTAGGGGCTGGAAAAGTCACAGAGGGTGGGAGGATCAGGGAAGGCTGTGGAAGGTGGTGTGGGAGCAGTGGTTAGGATGTGAGGTGTATACCCTTATGATCAGCTGAGTCATCAGGCATCCTGGGGCTGAGGCAGGATGGGGTCATGTAGGAGGGCCCTAGTATGCCTCCCTGAATTGTGTCCCCTCTCCCCACCCAGTAGGTTGGACTTTTGCTATGATAGAGCCGAAGACACAAGACATTAACAGCATATGGGCTGATTTAGGGAGCTTGGAGAAAGTCCTCAGATCTACCTCACCTTGTCCTAGCCAATCTCTCAGAAAGACTCTTTTTTTTTAAATTAGGGTAAACTTGATACTCGGTGATATTCACAGCCCTTAGTTTACTTAGGATTTAAGCCAAGTTTTGACAAATATATACACCCATGTTACCAAACCTTAGTCAAGATATAGAACATTTTCCTCTTGGAAAGTTCTCTCGTGCCCCTCCCTGTCAGAAGCAACAGCGCTTCCAAGTTTTATCAACAAAAGCCAGCTGTTCATGAAATTCTTTTTATATGACACTGCATCTCCTTAAGAACAATCAAAATCACCCTGACTGGGCACAGCGGCTCAAGCCTGTAATCCCAGCACTTTGGGAGGCCGAGGCAAGAGGATTGCCTGAGCACAGGGATTCAAGACCAGTCTGGGCAGCTTGACAAGATCTCTCTCTACAATAGATCAAGAAAAATTAGCCAGGCGTGGTGGCGCACACCTGTGGTTCCAGCTACTTGGAAGACTGAGGCTGAAGGATCCCCCGAGCCCAGCAGGTCAAGGCTGCAGTGGCTTTGAGGGTGCCTCTACACTCCAGCCTGGGTGACAGAGTGAGACTAAAATTATACCCTAACATACAACACAACTAAGGTGTTATCAATTATTTACAACTCAAGTGAACAAAGGATTAGAATAAAACTATTTTAGGAAAAGAAGGAGATGAGATGACAAGGACCTTAAATGTTTGGTTCCTGAAGGATTTCAGAAGCCCTACATTGTCTTTCATATATACCTGGATACTCAGGAAATATACCAGGCATGGATAACAGAGGGTGGAATTACCAAGGGAAAGAAATAGTTGAATTTCTTTCATCTGTCCAAATCATACTTAAAAATTCAATTCAGGGTTGGGCTTAGTGGCTCAGCCTGTAATCCCAGCACTTGGGGAGGCTGAGGCAAGTGAATTGCCTGGTTCAAGACCAGCCCAGGCAACTTGGCGAGACCTTGTCTCTACAATAAATCAAAAAATTAGCTAGGTGTGGAGGCGCATGCCTGTAGCTCCAGCTACTTGGAAGACTGAGGCAGAAGAATCACTAGAGCCCAGCAGGTCCATGCTGGGGTGGCCGTGAGTGTGCCACTGCACTTCAGCCTGGGCAACAGAGTGAGACTCTAACTGAAAATAAAAAATTCAGTACAGGCCAGGTGCAGCCATACCTCATCTCTACAAAAAATAACAAAATTAGCCAGATGTGGTGGTGCATGCCTGTAATTCCAGCTACTTGGGAGACTCAAGATTACCTGAGCCCAGAACCAAGCCTGCGGTAATCTATGATCGTGCCATAGCACTCCAGCTTGGGCAACAGAATGAGACTCTGACTCAAAAAAAAAAAATTTTTTTTTTCAATTCAAATTCGTCTTCTCAAGAATGTCTTTTCCTTTACCGGGTGCAGTGACTCACGCCTGTAATCCCAGCATTTTGGGAGGCCAAAGCAAGAGGATTATCTGAGCCCAGGTGTTCGAGACCAGCCTGGGCAATTTGGCAAGATCTTGTTTCTACAATAAATAAAAAAATTAACCAAGCATGGTGGTACGCACTTGTGGTTCCAGCTACGTAGAAGGCTGAGGCGGAAGGGTTGCCTGAGCCCATCAGGTTGAGTCTGCGGTGACTATGAGTGTGCCACTACACTCCAGCCTGTGTGACAGAGTGGGGCTTTGATTCAAAAAAAAAAAGGAATGTCTTTCCTTAAGGTGCAGTTATTTCTCTCCCTTTCAATTTTCTTTTTTTTGGGGGCACAAAACTGTGACTAGAAAAGTTCACTGTATTTGAATTTTTCTTTTATCCCAAGACTAGTGGTAATATAGTCAAAGAGACATAAGCGTGGATTTGAAGCCTGGAGAGCTGAGTTCTTACTGTAACTGAGTGTGTAACTTTGGGTAAGTCACTTAACCTCTCAGGACCAAAATTTTTCCTGTAAAGTTGATGGGAAGGAGGAGGAGGGATTGGACAAGGTGATGCCAAGGTGATTTCCTGGTCAGTCCCTGGGAACAACATATCTTCTTTGGGAGGTAAGTTTAAAAATAATTTGTGGGCCTGGCTCGGTGACTCAGCCTGTAATCCTAGCACTTTGGGAGGCCAAGGCGAGTGCATTGCCTGAGCCCACGGGTTTGAGACCAGCCCCAGCAACTTGGCGAGACCCCATCTCTACAATTAATTAAAAAATTAAGTCGGGCTTGGTGGTTCAGCCTGTAATCCCGTGCCTTTGGGAGGCTGAGGTGAGTGGATTGCCTGAGCCCGCAGGTTCGAGACTCGCCTGGGCAGCGAGACCTCATCTCTACAATAAAAATCAAAAAATCAGCCGGGCGTGGTAGTGCGCGCCTGTAGTTCCAGCTACCTGGAAGGCTGAGGCGGAAGGATTGCTGGAGCCCAGCAGGTCGAGGCTGTGGTGGCCAGGAGCGGCCACTGCACTCCAGTCTGGGCGACAGAGTGAGACTCCAACTCAAAAAAAAAAAAAAAATTAGCCAGTTGTGGTAGTACACGCCTTGGAAGGCTGAGGCAGAAGGATCACTGGAGCCTAACAGGTCAACTCTGGGGTGACCGTGAGTGTGCCACTGCACTCCAGCCTGGGCAATGGAATGAGACTCCAACTCAAAAAAAGAAAAATGAAAAATAATTTGTGATACAAGAATTTTTATTCACCCACCAAAACCTCTACTTCTTGACCTCATTCACTGATTTGATTTTTTTAACTTATGAGTAAAAATTAATCAAAAGAAGCACAGAATCAGTACAGAGAAATATCACTGGCCTATCTTGAGAGAAATTATTTAAATAAGCATATTCATTTATTGTCCCCTTTCTGGACCACACACAATGGCCAATGCCTGTAATCCCAGCACTTTGGGAGGCTGAGGCAAGAGGATTGCTTGAGCCCAGAAGTTTGAGACCAGCCTAGGCAACATAGTGAGACCTCATCTCTACAGAAAATAAAAAAATTAACCAGGCATCATGGTGCATGCCTGTCGTCCCAGCTACTGGGGAAGCTGAGGTGGAGGCGTCACCTGAGTCCAGGAGGTTGCGGCTGCAGTGAACTGTGATTGTGACACTGCACTCCAGCCTGGGTAACAGAGCAAGACCCTGACTCTAAATAAATAAATAAATATAAATGTTCCCTTTCTGGTCTGTTGTTGTTTTTGTTCCCCTAGACATAATGTCAAGTGGTGATTGTCAGCAATCAGAGGCTCTTGCCAAACCCACTCTCAGTGAGGAACAAGCTTCTGTATTAGTGGAATCGGTGTTTGGGTTCAGAGTTTCCAAGATCCACCCACTTCCTAGTTATGATGACCAAAACTTTCACGTACACATTTTGAGAACCAAAGACACTACAGATGGCCCAACTGAATATGTCTTCAAAATAAGCAGCACTGAGGCTAGCAAAAATCCAGACCTGATTGAAGTGCAGAATCACATCATGATGTTTCTGAAGGCAGCTGGATTCCCAATAGCCTCTGTGTGTCGAACTAAAGGAGACCATACAACCTCTCTCGTATCCATAGGTAAGAGACGACCAGCTCACCTGTGTCACCTGTCCATGCACATCACTGCATTTTGGCTGCAAGTAGAAATATCAAGAACAGGTCTATAAGTTCACGTGTAGATGTGGTTATTTTTTCATTGGTTGGGAGAAGGCATGGCATCACCAAAGTGGACATTGGGCCTCTGATTTGGAAGTGGTTAGACCCATATCTGGTATAAGTTTTCTGCTGAGAAAGGCCCTGATGGATAGTAACTAAGGGAACTTGTGGAAATCAGAGAAACATTTTTTGTCTTTAGACCAGAAAAATCATTAAGTATTTTTATTCATCGGACCAGCTGTCTATTCTGGTGCTGTGGCATAGTAGAATAAAACACAGGACTAGAAACCAGGAATTTCAGATCTTAGTTCTGTTGCTGCTGTACATATGACCTTGGACACACCATTTACATTCCTAAGGCTACCAGTCCTCATCTGTGTGATGGTCCCTTTCCCTTCTAAATACTAAAATGCTAAGATGTACCCAATTTTGTCCTCTCAGCAGCAGCCTAAAACCAATTTCTTTATGTTAAAGGTTTGAAATCTTGACTGTCTATTTCTGTTTTAATTTTTCATCCATTTCTTTTTGTTGGTTGTTTTTTGGTTTGGGGTTGTTTTTTGTTTTTTTTGTTTTTGATAAGTCAAAGTCTCACTCTGTTGCCCAGGCTATAGTGCAGTGGCACAATCACTGCTCACCTTAGCCTTGACCTCCTAGGCTTAAGTGATCCTTCTGCCTTAACCTCCCGAGTAGTTGGGTCTAGAGGCATGCACCACCATGTTCAGCTAATTTTTAAAACTTTTCTTTTTTGAGTCAGAGTCTCATTCCATCTCCCAGGCTGGAGTGCAGTGGCAAAGTCATGGCTACCACAGCCTCGACCTGCTAGGCTCAGGTGATCCTTTTGCCTCAGCCTTCCAAGTAGCTGGAACTACAGGTGTGTACCACCATACCTGGCTAATTTTTTTATTATTGTAGAGATGAGGTCTTGCCAAGTTGCCCAGGCTGGTCTTGAACTCTTGGCCTCAAGAGATTCTCCAACTTCAGCCTCTATTCTTTCTTATTTGCATTGCTCCAAACACCTGAGGCCCGTTGTTATCTCAGAGTAGTTATTATTCTATGTTGCAAACATAGGCTCAAATGAGTGCCCTCATTTGCCCCTGAAGAAGCCTGTGATTCTGGAAGTCATTTTCTTATACCTCACTTTCCTCAATTGTAAATTTAGGAAAGAGTGTGTGTTTTGCATTCATTTCCCATGGTGGGGCATATCCGTGTAGAGCTCCAGCCAGCAGAGTTGGAGCTATAATCTTGCTGGTATGTACCTGTCCAGTTTCAGTGTTCCTAAGGTTTATCTGTCCTACCTGCTTTGTCCACTCAGCCCTGCCTCATGGAATCCTGCTGGGTTGTTTTAGGTTAGCACATTTTTTTCTCTCTTATTCTGTAATCTCTGTTCTTATCAGTACTAATTGCAAAGGTAGAATAGCTTCTAATTGTTTATTTATTTATTTATTGAGAATAGTTGACAGAATATTTCATTCCATCCTTCTAGATAGTGGCTCTGAAATCAAAAGCCACTTGGTGAGGCTGCTGACTTACCTCCCAGGAAGACCCATAGCGGAGATTCCCATCCACCCGCCGCTATTATATGAAATTGGAAGGCTAGCAGCCAACTTGGACAGGACACTGGAGGTGAGGTTTGTGTTTGTTTGTTTGTTTGTTTTTGCATTAGAGTCTCACTCTGTCACCCAGACTGGAGTGCAGTGGCCGCTCCCGGCCACCGCAGCCTCAACCTGCTGGGCTCCCACGATCCTTCTGCCTCAGCCTTCCAAGTAGCTGGAACTACAGTGTTATTTTTTAAATAAACTCAGGATCAGATTCTCTTGTCTGGTGCTTGCTAAGGTGGGTGATGAAGGGCATGGGGTCCTGGGTGCGTGAACTGTATGATGGTAAGGCTACCTTTCTGCCCAGGCTGTACTTAGCAGCATATTGGCAAGATCGCCTGAATTTTTAGCAAACCATGGTATCTTTATGCTGCTCCTTGAAAACAGTCTATATTCACAAATTGAAATGTGAAGTTTTCATCCAGATAACGTGTAACCAGCTGGAGCTCTGTATGAAGCAGTAGCTAAGTTGTAAAAGGATTAAAATTTTGACTTGTGTAAAGAATGTTTTTGTTCTATGGAAACAATATCATGTATGACAAGTATCTTACAGACCCACCCATAAAACATCTTCGTTTAGTCAGCACACATTGAGTACCTTTGATGTGCCAGGCGCTGGGGAAAGGGGTAAGGATTCCAGGAGTAAGATGACACAGATCCGTCCTAGAATATATTCCAGGAGGACAGAAGAATGCTTTGTAAAGTAATTACAGCTTAAAAGAGTACAACACAATCCTTGTGAGCAAAACCCTTCTCAGCACTTGCTAAATTCTATCAGTTTTACCTCTCAGATGTCTCTGTATTCCATCTCCTTCTCTCTGTTCCTGCCTCAACTACCCTAGCTTCCCTGAATTACCACTATATGGCCTCCCCGCATCTAGTTTTTTTCCCCTCCAACTCATTCTTTTTTATTCTTTTTTTGAGTCAGAGTCTCACTCTGTCGCTCAGGCTGGTTTGCAGTGGCACCATCATGGCTCATCGTAGCTTCGGCCTTCCAGGCTCAGGTTATCCTTCTGCCTCAGCCTCCCAAGTAGTACTACAAGGCATGTGCCAACAAGCCTGGCTAATTTTTTTATTTTTTGTAGAGACAAGGTCGCACTATGTTGCCTAGGCTGATCTCGAGCTCCTAGGGTCATTCTATCTTGGCCTCCCAAAGCACTGGGATTACATCACACCCATTCCCAATTTCTTCTTTGTATATCAAGAGCAACTTAAAAATTACACATCTGACCATGTGAGTTCCATAGTTAAAATCTTTCAGATTTCATAGTTAAAATCTGCATGGCCTCAACCCTGCTTCCCTGCCCAGTGTTGTGGCCTGTGTCTCCCCTTTTGCACATTTCTCACTGGTAATAAAGAACTTCTGGTGTTCCCGGAATGTGCCATTCTGATTCCAGCATCTGTGCCTTTCCATATGCCATTATGTCAATCAATAATCCCTTTCCCCTGCTTCATACAACGCCTACTTGTCGTAAACACATAACTCCAGCTTCTGCCTCCTCTGGAAAGTCTTCCCTGATCCTCTCCCTTCCCACGCTGCACAGAGATGATCACCTCCTCCTCTTTGCTGCTTCTGAGCCTTGTTCCTGTCATCGTACTTACTGTTCTGTGTTCTGTTTATCTATTTCTGTGTTTAAAAAAAAATTCTAAAGTTTACTGACTTAAAACAATAATGATTTCTTTCTCGTGGCTCTGTGGGTTGACCAGGTGACTCTTACCTGCTGGGTGTTGATTGAGGTTACCCATGCCGCTGCATCCCGCTGGGAGCTTCCCTGGGGTGCTTCGGGTCCCTTCCACCTGGCGTCCTCACCTCATGTGGTGACTCATCCTCCAGGATGACTTAAGCATCTCCAGGATGACTTAAGGAAAGGGTTGAGCGAGACATGGATTGAGCGAGACATGGATTCCATGCCTGCTGGGACACAGTCCCATTGTAAAGTCGGTAGAGTGCTCCCTGGTGTCAATCCTGGGGACCCTTTTTAGCCTGGACCAATGAACTGAAGGGACAGAAAGTGGGGAAAACCAGAGACTTCGTTCAGGAGGTGTTGATCTCTGTGGAAGCCGAGGCTTCAGTGCTGTGCAGGAAAGCAGCTCCACCCCCACTCGCCCCACTGTACACCCCTGCTGACTGCCAGAACCTTCCTCCCTGTTTCCACTCCTTGCTGCTGTCCACAGTTTTATTCCTGGCTGGAGCCTTAGAGAGAAGAGTAAGGTAGCGCCTTCACAGGAGTTAAGGGAGAGAGGGGACAGACCTGGGAACACTTGAACAATGAGAGCCAGGAGATTTAAAATTCTCTCTGCCCCGGGGATTTGATACATATAGTCTCTTGGGAATGAGTTTTAAAATTTTATGCTGGCTGGGTTTGGTGGCTCAGCCTGAAATCCCAGCACTTTGGGAGGCCAAGGCAAGAGGACTGCCTGAGCCCAGGAGTTCGAGGCCAGCCTGGGCAACTTGGTGAGACCTCGTCTCCACAATAAATCACCAAAACTAGCCAGGCTTGGTGGCGTGCATCTGTTATTCCAGTGACTTGGAAGGCTGAGGTGGAAGGATCGCCTAAGCCCAGCAGGTGGAGGCTGCAGTGGCTGGGAGCATACCAGCCTGGGCGACAAGAGTGAGACTCCAACTCAAAAAAAAAAATTCTATGCTGTTTTACATTGCAATCTTTATATCTGAAGTGTGTTTCTTTAGGAAGCATATACAGTTGATCCTTGGATAATGTAGTTGTTAGGGGTGCCAACCCCCATGCAGCCTAAAATCCATGTATAACTTTTTTGTTTTTGTTTTTTGTCTTGCCTGTGGTCCAAACCATGTATAACTTTTGACTCTCCCAAAATTTAATTACTGTTAGCCTACTGTTGACTGGAAGCCTTACCGATAACTTAAACACATATTTTGACCTGGGCACAGTGGCTCACGCCTGTAATCCCAGCACTGTGGGAGGCAGAGCTGAGAGGGATGCCTGAGCTCAAGGGTTCGAGACCAACCTGAAAAATATGGCAACACCTCATCTCTACAATAAATTTAAAAATTAACTGGGTGTGGTGGCACATATCTGTGGTTCCAGCTACTTGGAAGGCTGAGGCGGAAAGGATCACTTGAACCCGGCAGGTCGAGTTGTGATGGCCATGAGTGTGCCACTGCACTCCAGCATGGGCAGCAGAGTGAGACTCCAGCTCAGATAAATAAACAAACATGTATTTTGTGTGTTATATTTATTACATACCATATTCTTACAATAAAGTATGCTAGAGAAAAGAACATGCTATTTAGAAAATCATAAGAAGGCCGGGCTCGGTGGCTCAGCCTGTAATCCCAGCACTTTGGGAGGCTGAGGCAAGTGAATTGCCTGAGCTCGCGGGTTCGAGACCAGCCCGGGCAACTTAGCAAGACCTTGTCTCTACAATAAAAATAAAAACTAGCCAGGCATGGTAGCACATGTCTGAAGTTGCAGCTACTCGGAAGGCTGAGGTGGAAGGATCACTGGAGCCCAGAAGGTCGATCCTGGGGGGCCGTGAGCATACGGTGGCCGTGAGTTTGCGTGCCACTGCACTCCAGCCTGGGTGAAGGAGTGAGACTCCAACTCAAAAAAACAGAAAAAAGAAAAGAAAATCGTAAGAAAGAGGAAATATGTGTACTATATACTAAGTGGAAGTGGATCGTCATCAAGCTCTCCATCCTCATCATCTTCACACTGAGTAGGCTGAGGAAGGAGGGGTGGCCTTGCTGTCTCAAAGGTGCCAGAGGTGGAGGAGATGGAGGAGACAGAAGGGGAGGCGGGAGAGGAAGACACATGCAGTGTGATGTTCATTCAAAAAAATCCATGTGTAAGTGGACGGACCTGCACGGTTTAAAGCCATGTTGTGTAACGGTCAGCTGTATTTGGGTCTTGGATTTTATCCAATCTGGCAATCCCTTTATTTGGGATGGTTAGACCATTTACATGTAATGTGATTATTGAGGTGGTTCATTTTAAGCCTAGTATCTTCCTGCTTGTTTTCTGTTTACCCCATCTGCCTTCCTCAGAATCAAACCCACTAAACGAGCTGTTTAATTAAATGAGTGTCTGTTACGTATTGTTCTCCTGAAAGGTTAAACTTTCCTTCTGCCCTGTCTGTGGGCTTCACTCCAATGCCTGCTGCCACTGAACTTTCAGCTTTTCGTGCTATATTCGAAAAGGCAGTGCAGTTTCTGGAGGGAGGTATCACCACATCACTGCTGACAGTGAGTTCTGCTGTGCTGTTAGCCCCTGCTGTTCTGCTGTGCAACGCATTTTAAGTTGTCTTGCAGGGGACAGGGGAGCTCTAGAGGGAACCAGGAAAAGCATTCTTCACTTGATATCGTAATGCGCTTGACACACATTATTCCCATTTCTTACCCTCACCCAACCTCATCCCACGACTTTGCAGGGGCAATCTTTGATTTTCTATAAGTTCTAGAAACTCCAGCTTCTATGAGAGACAATGCACGGGTGTAGTGTTTTAGTCCTGTAGGCAGAGGCTGTGGCTACTCTGTTGGGGACATGGTAACTTCCAGAAACTGGACAGGCCTGTGGAATCCAAAGTAGACAGGTGCTCTGGGAATTCTAGAGGCCAGAACTGAGGAGTTCACAAATGAACTAATCTGTACTGGAATTTGGGTGCTATTATGTCTACAGATGGGCTTGAAGTCAATCTCAGGAAATTCGATTAGCCATGAGAAAGAAGAAATATAGGGCAGGCTTGTGAATATGGTTGCAGTCAGAGCTCTGTACTAGGGGAAGCAGGATGCATGGGAAATGGGAGGTGGCATGAAGGGCAGAGACTGAGGAAGCTAGCAAGAAGTGGGCTGAGATGGCCTCGTGAAGAGTGGCCAAAATGCTAGAAAAGCTAGAGAAGTTAGGTAGATCAAGTGTTGCATTGGTATTTCACAAACATTTATGGAGTACCTGTGTGTATAAGGTCTTTATTTCATGCCGGGCATGGCGGCTCAAGCTTATAATCCCAGCATTTTGGGAGTCCAAGGCAAGAGAATTGCCTGAGTCCAGGGGTTCGAGACCAGCCTGAACAACTTGGCAAGACCTCATCTCTACAATAAATCAAAAAATTAGCTGGGCATGGTAGCATGTGCCTGTAGTTCCAGCTACTAGGAAGGCTGAGGCGGAAGGATCACCTGAGTCCAGCAGGTCGAGCTGCAGTGGCCATGAGCATGCCACTGCACTCCAGCCTGGGCAACAGAGTGAGACTCCAACTCAAAAACAAAAACAAAAAAAAAAAGGACTTTATTTCATGTCTTAGTTAATCCACAAGTCACTACAGGTGGTATTGATATCTGGATTTCACTGGGAAGGAAACAGATCTGGGATGTGCAATGTCTGCTTGTGAGTGGTAGAGCCAACTGAAACCCAGTGCTGACTCACCTTCCATATTCTTTCCATTGCCCTGTCCTAGAGCCGAGAAGTTCTGTGGCTGCATGGGACAGGGGGGCCACCATTTTAGAAGCTGACTCAGAACCTTCCTTGGCTGTTCCTCCATTGGAAACCCAACTAGAGTGTTATATTTTACTTTCTCTAAAAATAAAATATACATACGTGTTAAGAACATCAAACAGTGCTGAAAGGTGTAAAATGACAATTTCTCTCTACCATCATCTCCATTCCTAGTCACAGTCTCACTCCCCAAAGTATCAGCTCCTAACAGTGTTTTTAGTGCTTACTTTGCAGAGTATTTTTGTGCTCTTCGGTAGCATTGATCACACAAGATGATAAGGAAATTCAAAACCGTGGCAACGTGAGGAATAGTTGAAGGAACTGGAAAGGTTGAGTCTGCAGAAGAGAAGACTCTGGGGGAGTAGGAATGCTGTCTTCACAATTCTGGAGGATACATCCTGTTCCAGATGGCCTCAGAGGTTGCAGCTGGAGCCAGTGGCTGTGACACTATTAGAGATGCAGCTCTTAGCTCAGCAGAAGAAAGACCGCAGAGCTATCTCAATAAGAGCAAAAAGTACCTCCTGAGGGAAGTGTTCAAATGGGCTACATAACCACTTAGCAAGGGTGTGCTGATGATGACAGGAGCACTGGGGGAAGGTCTTCCAACTCCAGGTCATAATAATAAGTGTTGAAATCAATTTATAGGAGCTTTTTAAAAAGAAACAATACCATAAGAAACACCAGAATATGTCACATGTAATGGTCTAAGTATGGTTTACTGAGACTTTTTTCTCTGTATGTGTGTGTTCCTTTATACTGGGTTGTGATGTAAAATATATTTCTTACTGTAAGTCATGGTCAAGAGAATTTGAAAGCTACTTCACTGGGTGACCATCAAGATACCTTCTAGCACTCACTCTGTTTTTATAGGTCTGAACCATCAGAGAAAACACAGGTAATCCCTCCACCCCATAGTAACAAGTTGTTATCCCTCTCTGTTTCCCCATTTGTGCAACAATGGTCAAAGTCATTTAGAATTTTCAATAGAGTGGTCAAAGTCCAAAGGCACTTCCAATTCTGTTGTTTTATTCTAAGAACATCCATTTATTCAGTAACTATTGCTTAAGCAGTGCCTTTGATATACCAAACACGGTTCTAGGTGTGGGGATACAGGAGTGAACAAAACAGACAAAAAACAAGCCCCCTCCCCCCCATGGAACTTATATTCTAGTGGGATAAACAGTAAAATATGTAAGTGAAGGCCAGGCGCAGTGGCTCACGCCTGTAATCTCAGCACTTTGGGAGTCGGAGGCGAGAGGATTGCCTGAGCCTAGGGGCTCGAGACCAGCCTGGGCAACTTGGCAAGATCTCACCTCTATAATAAAATCAAAAATTTAGTCAGCCGTGATGGTGCATGCCTGTAGTTCCAGCTACTTGGAAGGCTGAGGTGTAAGGATTGCCTGAGCCCAGCAGGTTGAGGCTGCACTGGCCATGAGCATGCCACTGGACCCCAGCCTGGATGACAGTGAGACTGACTCAGAAGAAAAAAAAAAAAGTGAAATATGGCAGATATTAGCCCTAAGTGCTAAGAAGAAAAAATAAGCAGAGAAGAAGGGTATAAAACATTGGAGAGAGGCTTGAAATTGAATTGAAATGGAGGGGTTAGGAAGTCCTCAGGGGAAAAATAAGTGTTTGTTTAATAAAGACCTGGTGGAAATAAGGGCCCTAACCATGTGGAAATCTGAGGAAGGGCATCCCAGGAGGAGGAACCAAAAATGCAAAAGGCTGTGAGGTGGGAACATGCCTGCTCCTGCCTGGCACGTTTGTTGAACAGCAAGGAGGCCAGTGTGGTTGGACTGGAGTGTGCAAAGGTAGCAGAAGCTGGAGTCAGAGAGGCAACGGGAGGGAACGGGAGTGGGCTGGGGTCAAATCATGTGGTGAGAACGGTTCTTTCGAGCTGCCTCAATTCCTTTTGTAAGCTGTGGATAGTAAGACCTGTCTTCACACAACTAGAGGGGTCGAGATGGGAATGTGCTCCCGAAGCTATGAGGTCCTGTACGAATATGGAGGGCCTACTGTGCTGTGGGCTGATGGGGGGCGAGTCGGTGGCCATGAGAGAATGCCAGTTCTCTCACCCAGGCCACTTGGGAGTGGGTAGTCTTCTGGCACCACTAGATCTCAGCCATGGTTGCTCTAATATCAAGAGGCTAACAATGTCTTGTTTTTGATTTAGAAATTCCAACACCCAAAATTAAGTAGTCTTCATCAGGAGAACTTCATTTGGAATCTAAAAAATGTTCCTCTTCTGGAGAAATATCTGCATGCCTTGGGTCAGAATCGAAATCGAGAGATTGTTGAGCAAGTCATTAAGCGGTTCAAGGAGGAAGTAATGACCAAATTAAGTCATTTTCGAGAATGTAAGTATTCCCCAATCAAATAAATTTTTATCAATACTTAAATTGTCAAATTTCATACCATCAGGAAAGAATGGAGGTATAACTTAGCTGTAGCCTGTCTTCAAAAACTTTGTCATATTTACTCCTATTACTTTTTTTTTTTTAAGTTGGGATAGCACTCTCACTCTGCCACTCAGACTGGAGTGCAGAGGTGCCATCATGGCTCACTATATATAGCCTTGACTTCCTGGACTCAGGTGATCCTCCTGCCTCAGCCTCCCGAGTAGCTGGGACTATAGGCACACACCACCATGCCTGGCTAATCTTTTTATTTTTTGTAGAGATGACGACTCACTATGTTGTCCAGGCTGGTTTTGAACTCCTGGGCTCAAGCGATCCTCCTGCCTTGGCTTCTCAAATTGCTCAATTATAGGCATGAGCCACCACACCCTTCCTATTACTTTTTAAAGAATATTTTTACTTTGCTTAAGCTTGCTACATTTGAAGCCCCTCCTAACCTTTACATGATTCTACCTCTCTCCTGTGTACCAAATTTGCCTATAACATATTATGATTTATAAATGATTTATAGCAGGGTTTTATGTATTCCAAACTTTGTCTCTATGGTATCACACTGTATATTATCATTTTGCAACCTGTTTTTTATTCAACATATTTTTTGGATTGATACATACTAATATTTATAATTTAGTTCATTCATTTTAACTGCTGAATAGTATTCCAGTATGAATATACCATAATTTATCTGAATGTATCATAATGTTTTGGTCCATTTTCTTGTTAGTAGAATTTTAGGTTGGTTCTCTCTTTTTTTTTTTTTTTTCTACATAGGCAATACTGCTATGCACACTCTAATACTTATCTCCTGTACACATACAACAGTTTCTCTGGGTTATATATTAATATTTAGAAGTAACCAGGCTTTTCTCCAAGCATTAAGCGCTGGTCAAAGGGCAAGGCACTGAAGGGCACTTCTAGAAAGGCCTGGCATAGACAGCATGTGTCTCTTGCAGTTTGCTTACTTTGTATAAACACAATGTAAGGCTGTAGCATAAACACAGAGCTATTTTTCCCCCCTCTAATTTATTTTCCCCTCAGTCTTCTTCATCTCATTAAAATGGTACCCACAGGTGGGGCTCACACCTGTAATCCCAGCATTTTGGGAAGCTGAGGTGGGAGGATTGCTTGAGTCCAGGAGTTTGAGATCAGCATAAAGAAATTTTTTTTTTTTTTTGAGTCGGAGTCTCACTCTGTCACACAGGCTGGAGTGCAGTAGCATGCTCATGGCCACCCCAGCGTCGACCTGCTGGGCTCCAGTGATACTTTCCACCTCAGCCTTCCAGGTAGCTGGAACTACAGGCACGCACTACCATGCCAGGGTAATTTTTTATTTATTGTAGAGACGAGGTCTTGCCAACTTGCCTGGACTGGTCTCAAACCTGTGGGCTCAGGCAATCCACTTGCCTCGGCCTCCCAAAGTGCTGGGATTACAGGCTGAGCCACGGAGCCCAGTCAAGAAATTCTTAATATTAACCTGAGAGAAAAGATAGATAACCTAAAGAAATGACAACTGAACTGCAGTAGATTTTTCATATCAACAACTCAGTCCTTTGCCCATGCTGTGAGGAAGCAAGTAGCCATACAAAGGGCCAAGATAGTAGTTTCAGTAAATAGTTCCAGGTGCGGTCCCTTCCCACAGCCAGCATTAATTGCCAGTCATGTAGATAAGAGAGCTACAAAATGATATCAGACTCCACCTACAATCTGCTCCAAGGAACATGTGGAGCAAAGGAACTGCCATTACTGAATCCAGACCGGCTGACAGATCTGTGAGCAAAATAAATGATGGCTAGTTGTATTAAACCTCTAAATTTAGGGTGGTTTATTATGCAGCAATAAATAAATGGAACAAAGTGGCTTAAACAAATTTGGGTTTTTTTTTTTTTTTTTTGCTCACATGTCAAGGGCATTGGAAAATATGGACTTTTGGTGGGGTAAGGTTTAGGAGATTAAGGTGAGCTGCTGATAATGATAATGATGATGGTTTGGTAATGGTTAAGAAAAGAATAAATATTGAGTTGGTAGAAAGTTTCTCTTACCACAAAATGGTACTTACTATAGCTTTATAGACAAATTTTAAAATATGGCGAGGCTAGTCCCTCTACATTATTCTCATTTTTCTTTTTTCTTTTTTTTTTTTTGAGTTGGAGTCTCACTTTGTCACCTAGATTGGAGTGCAGTGGCCGCTCCTGGCCACTGCAGCCTCGACCTGCTGGGCTCCGGCAATCCTTCCTCCTCAGCCTTCCGAG